TTCCATGTAACTTTACAGATCTATAGGCTAATTCCAAAATGGAAAATTACCTTGATTCAGACGTCATTGGAATGTCTGAAAGCCATTTAGCAACTCTAAGACTCCTCCTGGCCAGGTCTTGCATTCCGTTAGTTGTCTTTTAAAGGAGTTCTCTAGGTAAGCACTGTCCAATGGAACTTTCTGCAGTGTGGAAGTGATCTATAATCTACATTGTCCACTATGATAGTATTAGCCACATGGGGCTATTGAGCACCTAAAATGGGAATTTTGGAATTAAATGATAAATTTTATTTAATTTTAATTAATTCAAATTTAAATGATATAACCACCTTCTCCAATGTTCCCTCTTCCTACAATCTGTCTTAAAAAAAAAAAAAAGTCAATGCAGTTAATAGTGGAAATTGGTTGCAAGTGACACTGTGAGCTTTTTGTTCCCATTTATTCATTTATAAATATTACAAGGACACTGTGTAAATTCCTAGTTCTCTGCTCTCATAGGGCTTACAGTCTAGTAAGGAGACAGTTATTAAACCAGCAATTACCCAAATTGTTAATTGATTAAGTCTGTGATGACTATTTCAAAGGAGAAAGACAAGATGCTGTGAGGGTATATAATGGGGGCCAAAACTTCTTGCATAATTAGAGAGTTTAATCAGAGTTCCAATTATTACCTAAACAAGAAAAGCATGAGGCAGCTTCCTTTCCCCAAGTTCAAGGCTGGGTCAGGTTGGCTGCAGGACCCATAGCTCTCAGAGTAGGGCAGCTAGCATGTGCCATGCCATGACCTCCAAAGAAGTGGGATCTGTTTAAGACGTAGGATCTTAATCTGATTAAGCTGTGTACACACACATACTGCAAACTTCTGAACCTGAACAAGTAGATTCTTTCCCAAACTGTATGAGGTTGTAATGATGTCGGTCACAGATAATATGTGAGAAGAAGGGTGTAATATTTACAGGATATTGCTTTTCTTCTCCAATATATATTTTGACAAAGTTGTTTGGGCTGCAGCCCCAGCTTTTTCCTTCCTGCTCTTTCAAATTGGTATTTGGTCCTTTCAGGAAACGATGTGGAAATCGGTCCTGACTTCCCAGACAGACAAAATGAGACACATGACAGCAAAACATATGGCTCAGATACACATCCTTATATGGCCAACATAGACCATATTCCCAGAAATTCATATATGGAAAACACCACCTGCAGCCAACGCCAAAAAACAAAGAGTTGACACGACAAAAAGAGCAATATGCTACATAAATTGTGCTGCTTTAAAAGTGTAGAGATAGCCAACTGTATTTGAATTTAAAAAGATGAAAAACAACCATGTCCTTAGAAAGTGTTATGGTGGTAAGCATTGCTTTGCTTACACAGTCACTGGCGGAGTTGCTATATCTTAAAAGCATTCGAATTCTAAATGCTTTCTCTGTTTATTACAAATGTATGTGCTATTCAGAACTCTGAATGTGTTTTAATGCGTTCGGATATCTGCCTGCATATTTATCTTAATACATTGCCATCTGAAACATGCAGTAGTCCTTTCATTAAGTTTTTAAAAATTTTCTGTGTAGCCAGGATAATGCCTTCACATGTGATAGAAAATAGATGCACTCTGTTTTAAATGTATATCCACATGTTAAATAGTTCATGTATTTGAATTGCAATATTTTATATTCCTGAGGTTTTCTATTTTCATGACCAGATTTATAAAGTTTATTTTAACTTTTTTTCAATACTTGCTTGCATCATTATTGCTAAATGTAAGATCCCTGTGTTGATGTTTTTTTCCTCCCACCATGATAGTTTATGTTCACATATGCCTAGGAAGGTGATATTTTCTTAATAATTGCTATGATTTGAATACTTGTCCTCTCCAAAACTCATGTTGAAATTTAATCCCTAATGTGGCAATATTGAGAGGTGGGGCCTTTAAGAGGTGTTTGGGTCATGTGGGCTTTGCTCTTATGAATGGATTAATCCATTTGTAGATTAAAGGGTTAATGGATTAATGGGTTATCATGGGAGTGGGATTGGTGGCTTTGTAAGAAAAGGAAGAGAGCCCTGAGCTAGCATACCAGGCCCCTTGCCATGTAATGTCCAGTGCCACCACCGGACTCTGCAGAGAGCTTCCACTAGGAAGAAGGCCCTTGTCAGATGAGGCTCCTCCAACTGGAATTTCTAGCCTCCGCGGTGTAAGAAATCAATTCCTTTTATTTATAAATCACCCAATTTCAGGTATTTGGTTATAAGCAACAGAAAACAGACTAAGACAAATTTCTTTCTTTTTTTGTTCTTTATTTTTTATCAAGCTTTACACTGGCCAATACTCAGTGGTTTATAATGAACTATTGTAAAGGGGTAGTTAATATATAGTAATTAATTTCATCAGTGACATATACCACTAGTACATAAACCTTTATGTGCCATTTTACTTATTTCCTGTAATATAGTTTTGGAATAAAAAAAAAATGTGCTTGAGGGAAAGTTTATATGTGATTAATAGATTCATGATTGTGCTATATTGTTATTCATTATAATGTAGTCGTTATTAGAAGCCTTTATGCTCATTTATTCTATTCATCATTTTCCAAAGCCACGTCAGTCCTTATCACATACTTTCATGTTTTGTGTTTATGAATAGATTTGTGACTCCTAGATAAAAGGTGCAATTCAAATTTAAGGGTTGCTGTATTAGTTCCCATATTATATTAGCATTGACTAGGTCATTAGGAGGGTAAGGCAGTCAGATGGCATTTTGTCTTATTTATTTCTGTAAAATGATGGAATAAGCATATTTACAATACTTTATTTCAGCCTATCTTAATATTGATATTTCCAGTGATCTTTGTTTAGTGGTGTTTTCTCTTAAATTTTGTTTTGCCCAGCAACTTTCTTTTCCTTCATAAAAAATACTCAGCTTGAGGTGACATTCCCTGGCTAACTTGTATTTTTTTGTGCGTGGACACTATAATTTTTCTTTATTTTTAAACAATGCTATTGTTTGTAAATTTGTTCAACACCATACTAGAGTGCACAGTCCCTACTGAAAACAAGGCATGTTTCAGGGAAACATGTCAGGCATTACTAGTTTGAAGCAACTGTTAAAGTATCCATATTGGAAATGTCAAATTTACCCTACCATATTTCTGTTTCTTATACTTGAGCTAATGTATCTTCCTTCATATTCCTTCACATTTTAACTTCTAAAAATTTACTATCATTTGGTCTTTAAAAATTTGCCTTAAAATTCTTTTCCTATTTTTGATGCGGTGTTTTCTACTATCACATGTTCATTCTTTTGCTCAAGGCTTGGGTTTGTGAGCCAAGATTCACGATTGCCTTCCCAAATTTTGACTAACCTTTCTGGTTTGAGGGTGAAACTGGGGTGCCATTAGAGTAATATATTTTCATTGTTTTTCTCCTGAACGTACCCTCCCCCAGGAGGCCATCATTTCCTATACTTTTCTGCTTTACCTTTTTGATTTTCTTTAGCTGTACTGTAAACAGTGTGCCTAAGAGTGCATTGGTGGCTTTACAGAGATTGATTTGCATATTTCCCTCTTATCTCAGTACTTGTGCTAACTTGTTGCTTTTTTATGTGTAACAAAATGTTTATCTGACAAGTTTTTTCTCTTTTCCCTACCAGCATACTCTGAAAAACAATTCTTATTTAATGATAAACTGCCTTCAGGGTGCTAAAATGCTAGTACTAATACCTAAGCGATAAATGATGCATTTCTACTTTGGGTGAGATTGTAATATTCTTTATTTCACATGAACTGTATTTAATAGATTGTCTAAACAAGAGAATCGTACTTATGTAGTAATGACCATTTATTTATCTTAACTGGGTAACCTACCCTAGATTGCAGGATAAGTGTTTATTGCTACAATAGATGTATTTACCAACCCAAACTTTCCTCTTCTGCCCAGGGTAAATTATGTGAAGAATGATGGCATCTCCTCCTTTATAATAACAAGTCAGGTCTCTTTCAAGTGACCCAAATTTTGTTTAACTCGGCCACGTATTTCTTCTTCCAAAGTATTCTCTGGCTCAAGAGTGAGGGCGATTTGAACCAACGTCTGACTAGTACAGAAAGCTCTTAGTTCTTTCTAACGTTGGCTCTTCATAGTTTAAGGACCACCCTCCTTAGAGGATAAGCACTCGGAGAGCCTTTCGAGGCTCCTGGCCTTTATTGCTCTACAAATGTTTCTGCACCCTCCGCGCTTCTCCGGAGAGATCCGCCTTCCGCGTGTACCCCTCCAGCCACTTCCTGAAGTCTCCCTACCTCAGTCCTCAGCGCCTGTCACCTGCGTCCCCGCGCCCCTCTCCCGCGGGGCCGGTGCGTCCCCCCGTCCCCCCGCCTCGCCTGTCCCTCCGCGACGCTCCGGGCGTACTCCTTTCTGTGGCTTTTGTGGCGTGTGGGTGGCTGGTTAGTTTTCTCCCCTGGCCCTCGCCCCCTCCTCCCCGTCGTCTTCCTTCCCCCCGCCCCCCGAGCCCGTCCTGCCCCTCCTCCCGCCCCGCTCCCGCTCGCACACCTGCCCCTGCCGCCCGCGCCCCGCGCGCTCCCCTCCCCGCTCCGGCGGCCGCTGCCAGGGAAGCCCCCTCTCCTCCTCCCCCCGCGCCCTCCCTGGCGCGTCTGGCGGCGGCCGGCGCTAGCCCTCGCGCGGCGCCCTGTTATTCTGGGTATTGTGTGTAATAAATGTCGGGCCGCCTCACTCTAATCAAGCTCATTACAAATTCTTGCGCGCCCGGGGCCGGAAACCGTGCGCTCCCCCCCTTCCCTCACTCATTCACGAGTTACTTGTCTTTCGGCTTTTTAACTCGCCGCCCCCGCCCCCTCCCCCAATCCCGGCCCTCCAGCCCGGGTTTTAATCCCCATCCCTTTTCCGCCCGCTCCGTGCACCCTGCCCCCCCACGCCGCCTTCCTCCTCGGCTCCGCACCCCCTTCCTCCCCTCCTCCCCCCTCCTCCGCCGCCGCCGCCGCCGCCGCCGCCACTTTCTCGCTCGCTCCCGCTCCCCGGACGCGGCGGAGGAGCCGGCCCCGCTGGGGAAGGCTCCGGGCGGCGGCGGGCGGCCGGGAGGAGGCTGCGTGCTCGGGGCTGGGGCTGCGAGCGGGGTGACTCTGTATTAAAATGAGGAGGAGGAAGAAGAGGCACCCACAGCGGCAGCGGCGGCGGCGGCGGCAGCAGCAGCGGGAGCAGCGGCGGAGAGGGCTGCAGCCCGGGCGGACGCGCGGAGCCGAGCGGGGCACGGCGGCGGCGGCTACAGCGGCCGGGAGGAGTCCGCTGCTCGTTTAATGGGGGCAGAGCCGGCGGCGAGGGCGCGAGCGAGCGAGGAGGGAGAGAGCGAGGCGGCCGCAGCCCCGTCCGGGGACTCGCGCTCACACGCACGCACACACAAACACGCGCACACACACACCTCTCCCTGTGCCACCCAGCAACACCCGGCCTCGCCACAACAACCAGCGCCGCGGCCGCCCTCCGGCCTGCCCGGGGGCCCAGCCGCGAGCCGGGGCGACTCCAGAGGACGCTGCCCGCCCCCCTCCTTCCTTTCGAGAAACTCCTGATCAGTTTTGTCGGGGTTCCTGGGCTTCTTTTCCCCCCAAGTCCTAGTGCCATTGTGGGGCTCGTTGTTTACCCTGGACTCTGGACGAGTGAGAGCTCGGCGACTTTTTGGGGGGAGGGGGCAGGGAGTTCGTCGCTGCCGAGGCGGTGGAGGTGGCTGGGGGTGCCTTCGTATCGTCCTCCTCCTCCTCCCCCTCCCCCCGAACCTCCTCTCTCCTCACTTGCTGGGACCCCAGAGGCTCACAGCCCCGCGTCCATGGGCAGGGAGAGGGTCCTCGGGGCTGTTGTCAGCGAGGGCGGAATCAAAAGTGGCATTTTAGTGCCTTTCCGGGGCTCTGCTCGCGACCCTCTGCCCCCCACCCTCGCTGTCCCCCTCTAGATGCCCTTGCTGGGGGTGCGAGGCTGTGGGGAAAAGTTTAAGGTTTGTTAATATTAGTCGCGATTCTTGGGGAGGGGGTGGGGGCGATTGGGAGGGAGGCGAGGTGGCCTTCCCAGTGCGCGTTCTTCGGGGTTGTTGGGGAATAATATTTCAAGTGACAGCCAGAAGTAGACTTTCTGTCCTCACACCGAAGAACCCGAGCTAGCAGGAGGGAGGGAGATAAGGCGAAGGGACCTTTTTTTTTTTTTTCCCCTTTTTGGAGACCTTGTCCGCAGTGATTCTTTTTTTTTTTTTTTTTTTAAGGAGAATCCTCAGTCACCACCTCGTTTCCCCAGCACCACCACAGTGTACAGCTCATAACGGGTTTTGCTTTGTTTTTACGATTTTCCCCCAACGAATCACTTGTCAGATCAATTTTATCTTCTTCCCCCTCCCTGCTTCCCACTCTCCCCTCCTCCCCATCGCAAACCCCGTTCTCTGAGGTTAGACATTTTACAAACCCGTAGATGTTGGTTTTCGAATTGTGATTTTTTTTTTTTTCTTAACCCCTTTTCTCATGGCTACTATTCTATACGTCTATTTCTTCCCTTCCCCCTCTTAGGGGGGCGGGGGTAGGGGAAGGGAAAATAACACAATTTCAGGGGAAGTCGCCTTCAGGTCTGCTGCCTTTTTTTTTTTTTTTTTTTAATTAAAAAAAAAAGGACATAGAAAACATCAGTCTTGAACTTCTCTTCAAGAACCCGGGCTGCAAAGGAAATCTCCTTTGTTTTTGTTATTTATATGCTGTCAAGTTTTGAAGTGGTGAGTTTCAGGTCGGTTTTGCTAATTTCACTCAGTAAAACTGCAGCGTTTCTGTTTCTAGATAGTACTTTGCTTCTTTGTCTCTTTAAAAGGTCACAGTGAAAGCTTGGCCTGGATTGTGCCGGCCATATGGAATGGATAAGGGCACAGTCTTAAAATGTGATTATGAGGTTGTGTGGGGGCGAAAGAGGCGATCCAGCTAGGAACTCATTGAAAAGGATCTCACATTGCAAAAGAATCGGTTCTTAAAAAACTAGAATTTCGTGCTTTTCTTTCTTTTTAAATGAAGTAGCTCTTGTTACTGAGTTCAGTTTTATTCCGTAATTATCATATGGTGTTAGTTTATGGGCAGAGAAATGGGGTTTTCAGAAAGTAGCTTGCTTTCTGTGTGGCAACCAGACATTTACACTAAAATGGGTTTTAACATGTGTAACTCAAAAGAAACTCTTCAGCCTGGCATCTGTTGAGACCATAGTTAGTTCTTGCTGCTGTCAGTCCAGGCAGGCCTCTTGGAGGTTGCTCTTTTCAATTCCAAACTGAGGTTTGGTGAACTTCAGCCAGGACATGGAGTTTAAATGAGAAAATTGGGTGTTTTATGGGCATGTAATTTTGGTTTGTAATGTAAAGCTTTTTACAGCATGACCTAGTGTTTAATAGATGCTTATAGGTGGGTATTCAAAGGACAGTTTTGCATGACCTGTATGATACTTTGATTGTCAATACATTAACTAAATTATATCACTTTCATTTGCTGAACAGTTTATAGTGTTGTTAAGCCTCATGATTACTTAATATGTTTTGTAGCATTAACTTTGATGCTGTTGTCTACACCTCCCCTCTTTTTTTTCTCTTAAATGGCCCCAAGGGCTAAGGATTTTTTTCTTTTCAAATCATGTTTTAAAATTCATCTTCTGCTCTAGGATAAGGCAACCAATTTCAGAAAAAGCAGCTCTGTATTATCCACATGAAACATTATAAAGAGTGTTTTGAATAAGTTAATAATCATTGCTTTCTAATTTTGGCTTTAGACTGCAGTTTAACATAATGGAAAAGAGTAATCTTGATAAAAAGTGGTTTAAAAAGGCACATTTATTGTTAATGAACCTCATAACCAAAAACAGATGGGACCTCGATCAACGGTAAACCTTTAGTTCTCAGTGTGCCACTCTGGAGTACAAAGATAAATAGCCATTAATGTTTCTCAAACTTTATAGTTCTTCAATTGGCATTCTTAAGGTTGCTTTTAAACCTCTAGATTAACGTTGCTGTCCCCCTTTTCTTGATTATATGGTAAGAAGTGGGCTATGGTTAAGCAGAAGAAAAAAATGTTTACAGAAAAGCCATGCTAATACAAACTGGCTTTCAACAAATCCAGATTTAAATAGCTTCAGTATAAGAATTTAAAACAAACAGAAGCTATGTCAAATTACTAGACAGCTAGGAAAAATGGTAATTATTCTCTCTGGTTTGCCTAAATATGAAACCCTTAGTTTTATAAGCTCAATACTTCAAATACCATGAAAGTTCATAAAATAATTCTACTTACCTGTTCTTATCAATCCTAGTTAAAACTATACTTTAAAAATGACTTTGATATTTTCTAATCACTTTACTATAAATAATGTGAAAATTGATGTCTAATACATAACTGAAAATAATTATCTGTTAACGTTTTGAAGTTAATTACGATGTTAATGCCATTGCATGCTGAGGTTATTTCTGAATACTGGATATTTTGTTTTACCAGTATCATCAAGGTTTTTTTTTTTTTTTTTTTTTTTTCCTTCAGCTTGGCACTTCAACCTAATGTGCATATCATGAAGTATATTCAATTTACAAAAAATATTTATTTTTAACAGCCCTCTATTACTAATGGACACCTAAATGTTAACTCTAAAAACACATGAGTTTAATGCATCAGTACATTGGATATTTGAAAACCTTTCACTTATTTCTGTTTGCTTGGGGGTAAACTGATCCAATCACATGTTTGACCCAAAACTTGACTAGGTCTTTAACAAGTCACATAACTCTTGAAACTTTGGTAGTAGAAAACTTTTTCTAGTTATGCCACTGGGGAGTTTAAAAAGCAGTTAGATGTTTGTTACTTTCTTTAGAGATGGTTTATGTGTGTTTTTTAAAAATAAGAATTAAAACATATGTAAAAATATAAACATATGCGTTAGATTTCTAATATTTTGAACTGTGATAATCTTTCCATCCTTTATTAAAGTGTTTCTGCTGTCTTTTTGTAATGAGTTTCTAGTTGTTAAAAATTGGGACTACATAAATACAATTTGCTGTTTTCTTTTTAGCTATACTTCTGATAATTCTAAAAGTAAGCCCATTTTCCCTCACTTAGTTTTTTTTTTATAGGCCAATTACCTTTTTATTCATGTGTATTGGTACAGTTTCCACAGATCATTCTGTTAATTTGAATAAGAATGTAGGGCTATTATCTAGAAACGTAGTAACATCTGTATTATATCTGGAAAGGCCATGTTACAAATACATTATATTAGTAGAGAGAGATATCTAAAGCTAAAACATTTACATAGGATACATATATACATACAGGTCCCCAACCAATTATAACTGTCTTCTTTTTAAATTCTGGCAGGTGATCTTTAGACAGTGACTGAGTATGGATCATTTGAACGAGGCAACTCAGGGGAAAGAACATTCAGAAATGTCTAACAATGTGAGTGATCCGAAGGGTCCACCAGCCAAGATTGCCCGCCTGGAGCAGAACGGGAGCCCACTAGGAAGAGGAAGGCTTGGGAGTACAGGTGCAAAAATGCAGGGAGTGCCTTTAAAACACTCGGGCCATCTGATGAAAACCAACCTTAGGAAAGGTAAATACTTTCAAGCCAAATCCTGGAAAGCTGAAAGCCCTGGTGTCTACACAAGGCCACATTGTGTGGGGGTGGAGTGGCAGAACATGTTTTGTATACTCTGCCTTTATTCTCTTTCCGATCTTAAATTAGTTGCATTCTGGGTCCTTAGTATCAATCACTTTAGAAAGTATAGGCTCCATGCTTGGGTGGAGCATTTTACTGTAGACTGGAATCATTGGACATTTCAGATTCTAAGGACTGAATTAAATATAATGGTCTTAGTTTACGCAGGGGTCCATTCAAAAGGTGTTACAGTAGAGGATTGTAGGCGGCTGTTGCTTTAAACTAACCTGATTAAGAATAAAACACTTAGATGGTTTGAGAGCTACCCTAGCTTCTTTCTAAGATTTTTGGTTGTAAGGCAGTTTCAGAGATCTTAAAAGTCTTGCACAGAAGTTGTGTCGTGTTATTTTTCGTGGCTTATTTTCTTAAGAGAAAATTCATTAGTATTGAAAAATCTGATGATTCTAGTTTTAAATTTTTGTTTTAATTGGGTATGCTTGATGAAGAAAGAACAGATTTCGGCAAGTTTATAAAGGGAAGATGTGTAACTATGTGACTCTTTTCTACCAGTATTAAATTGATGCAGTTTAACAACTTTGACTGTTTAACAGTGTTGTTCCTGTAAAGCAGTGCCTATCCCCGGTTGTAATGCCTGTGCCTCCTAAGGAGTTTCATCCTGTGTCTGAATAACATGTATAGGAATCAGATTGTCCTTAAATTTGCTAAGCAATGGATTAAAAATGCTGTATTTTAGCAACCAAGAATATTAAGTAGATAAAGTTAGAAAGCAGAGGAATTTCATTGTGCTTGATGCATAACATTTATCATACAATCATTTATTTTTTCCTTGGTTTGGCGAAAACAAAGAATATATTGATCCTGAAATGAACAGACACAGCAGTCCGTATTGTTAGATCTTTATCTATTAAAAATGGAAAAACAGCACTTCAGCAAATTCTTTGGCCTCTACTCATGATTACCCTATTTATTGATTGTTTGCCAAGAATGTATGCATCTTAAGAAAGCCAGGGTAAGAGCATTAAAAATATAATTTATTACGGCTTTTCAAACAGAGTGCATTAATATTGTACTGTGAAGCACTGGGGCTCTATAAAAAAGACTTTCTGACGCCTGCAAACATGTAAGTTCCATAAATTCCTAAATAGGAGATTTCAGCTGTCTCTGGTATTATGTGATATTTGCACAGCAAACTTTAATGCCAGGACAGTTTTAGACAAGGATTCTACAGACTTCACTGCTCCTTATGGCAGACGTGCTGTTTACACAGGCTCATAAACCTTCAGCAAAAGCTTCTAAGACTGCCTTCAGGTTTAAATCATGTGGTATTTTTAGCATTCAGCAGTGACCAGTGCTCTCCCCTTTAAATGCTGGAAGGTTATGAAGTTGCTGTAGTTGGAACTCTCGCCAAACACTAGCACAAATAATCGGACAGTTCAGAGAAGGCTTATGTTCAGCGTTATTCCCAGGAACAGAAGGGTAACCGCAACAGTTTGCTAGAACTGTAATTAGATGATACTCTTGTTACTTTATAGCCATCTTTATTATTTTAGGGTACCTCTAAACATGATCGATAAAATCCAGAATAAATCCAATATATTTCAATAGTTTGAAAACCCTGCAGTTCATAGGTTTAAGGAAAAGCATATTGTAGAATACATCTGTTTAATCCTACAAAAGGAAGAATCAATTTGTATGTTTTTGTTGTACTTACTCAACTCTTTGAAGATATCAGGACAGGAGGAGGAAGAACGAAAAGTACAGTAAATTCACTTCCTGCTCAAACGCTTTTTTGTTTTGTTTTTTGAATGTATTCTAAAAATGCAGGTTAATTGTGGAAGGGTCTCAGATACTTCAAATAACAAAATTGCTAAAGCCTTTTCCTGGGTTTTTATTAATATTTCCATCTTATTTTTCTTGTGCATGGTTTCTGTCTGACAGGTGCTAGATGAAAATTATGGCTGAGATGAGAAAGCACTACTAAGAAAAAGGGATTGAATGTTTTTATTTGTTTAGGCGATTTTGTCAAAATACCTTCAAGCCAAGGAAGAAATCACCAGTTTGCATATTGCTATTTTTGCTGTGGTCTCCTCAAGTTGTCTTCTGATCCCTGACGGGTTCTCTCACTGGTATAAAACAGCTGAATGAATGACAAAAATATTGGCAAGCTCTGAGGCTTGTTTTTCGTGCCTATCCTATTGGTACCTCTGAATGAGTTTGTGACTTTTTCTAAGCAAACCTAAAGGGGTTTATTTGTCAGAGCTAGAATCTCTCGTGAACAGTTCACTAAAGCTTTGGTGAAGACTCACATGTAGAAGGATGTAGCTGTTTTATTGCCGGCTTTTGTTCAACAGAAACAAGCAAATAGAGAATCTTTAAAGAGCCTCTCTGGTGTCAGTAGGAAATCCTGATTTTTAGCTGCGGTTGCTGTGTACTACACATCTTCAGAAGTTGGTAGGATTCTGTGAGTCCAGGGGACAGAGCTTATAGAGGCATTAGTATTGTAGGACTAATTGTGGATCCTGGGTGCCCTGTTAAAGTAACCCTTGTCATCATTTATGCTAAAGATGATACCCTTCTGGCAGTTTGCCACAGTACAATTCAGATGCATCTGCTTTTAACCCTTTTCCGTTATCATTGGAAGTCTGACAGTGAGCTGCATAAACACCTTGAGTACTACAGCATTCCGTAATCTCAATTTCTAGAAGAAGCCTCTTTCCAATAGTGCTGTGGCTTGTGCTTATTAATCATCTGGCTACTGAGTTACTATTGGATTAAAATATATAAAGAGAGAGCGCACCAAATCTATGCAGATTCCTTTATCCTAATATGTCCTGATAAGGTCAGTTTCCTTTTCTCTTTCTCATTTTTATCTTATTTACTATAACAAAGATCGTTGATTTTAAAGACTTGCGGATACTGTGTTATCTTTTCAGTTAGGTAGGTTAAATGAGTATTCATAAAAGCAAATGGTATTTATGTGGATTATGCACATATTGAAATTGTATATTATGAGTACCAGTTTGGTTAAGTACTTTGTGCGAAACCAGTTAGAGTTAATTTCTAAAAAAGGAAGAAAATGAAAATTTCATTGTCAAAGATAATTTGTTTGGACACAAACAGGAAAAGTTTATTATTAACAAAATCATGTAAGCAGTAGGAATGTAGGGTCTTCTGAAGATAACTAGTGAGTTATGTTTGCATACTATATACTCATAGCAAACTAGAGAAGACACATTTATTTCTCTTTTGTCACCATTATTATTTGATCAGAAAGGTAATTCTGCATTCATTGCTTTTGGAAAATGCACTGTTAATTTAAAGCCCAACTTACCTTAGGACCAAGTTCACATTCTACTTAAATATTTCTCTTACAACTTTAAATAATACGGGAATGTATATGTTTGTGTGCATGTGCCTGTAGTTCTGTACCCAGTCTAAAAGCACAATGAATCTCTTGTGATTATTTTCATGGCTAATTTTTCCTCTCTCAAGCTGTATTTCTGAAGATTGTTGGTTTTCCATCTCTTTTTCTTCGTCTTTTTGATAGGAACCATGCTACCGGTTTTCTGTGTGGTGGAACATTATGAAAATGCCATTGAATATGATTGCAAGGAGGAGCATGCAGAATTTGTGTTGGTGAGAAAGGATATGCTTTTCAACCAGCTGATAGAAATGGCACTGCTGTCTCTAGGTTATTCACATAGCTCTGCTGCCCAGGCCAAAGGTAAATAATGTGTACGTGGGGTTGGAAAAATTGCTTGGCATCCTTTGTTTACCTTGCAGAGAAAGCACTGAATATTTTTATTCAAAGAACTGTAGCCTGTGTATTACATTGGTTCCTTATAGGCTGTGGCTTTAAAAAATTGGCTTAATTCAGTTTGGTTTAGTTAACACACATTTTGCTCATGTGGAATGTCGAGGTAGATTTTTTTTTTAAATTACTTCAGCTGAATCATTAGTATGCTTATTGACCTTAATAATCTGCTCCACTGAGGACCCACAAGGAAGTGAGGAGCGTATTTGAGCAGATGGACTGTTGAGAGTCAATTTGCATTTATGACTGAATATCTAGTTCTGTTTCTTTTATTCTGTTTCTGATGGTTTTATGGGCTGTAAAGTATTTTTCAATGCTGATTCCCACTGCAATAGAGAATCTTATCTAAATCGTAAAGCCATTTAGAACTGGTTCAGCTATGTCTTATTAGAACTTCCTGTAAGTTAGGAAAATGTGGCCTTATGCATAGGTTTTATTGATGGGGTTTTATTTCCAAAATAATAAACAACCCTATAGTCATTTACATAATTTTACAATTTGGAAAGCTAAGCTGTGAATATTTTCATTGACCTGCCTTTTAGAAGGAAGGGAATCATTCAAACAGAAATAACAGTATTGCCTGTGGTAGGGGTAGCAGAAAAAAAAAAAAAAAAAGATCACCCTTCTACTAGATTTGGTATCTGAGGGTAAAATATTTAGTGACATATTCCCTTTATCTGAAATAGGGCTAATTCAGGTTGGAAAATGGAATCCAGTTCCACTGTCTTACGTGACAGATGCCCCTGATGCTACAGTAGCAGATATGCTTCAAGATGTGTATCATGTGGTCACATTGAAAATTCAGTTACACAGGTGAGTCAAAACAGCAAGTCTAGGGTGAAACGTTCTTCTTACCTGGTCTTTTTGAAATGAAGCATCTCTCTTTGGTCAACCTTCAATTTTTTTTTTTTACTCTGTGTTTCAGAAAGGTTAATACAGATTGATTTTGTTACCCTATCCTTCTGCCTTTTTTCCTGACGTCAGTGTATAATTTAAAAGTATCTCCCCCCCACATACACAAAATTTGTAGGTTTGTGCAGATTATCAAAAGACAAGACTTTTTAGGTTTAGTCAATTAAATAATGCATTACAAGAAGGCATTTTACATAAAGTTTACTTAAGAAAAAAATATTTTTGCATATCATGAACAGTGCCATCTGTGTACATTTTGTGAAAGACTGTCTTATTCACTATTACCACAATCTTATTTATTTTTTTTACGATTTTAATTCGTATGAACAGAGTAATGAAAGGAAATCGGTTAATACGTTAAAGCTTTTCACGATGGCTCATGAGAAGGCAGTACACCTTAAATTGTCTTCCCAAGCGCATCAGAGCAGGAAGGTAGAAGTAACATGAAAAAATAGCCACCACAGGCAGCTGATGTATAATTCATGCATCGATACAGCAGATGTGTTGTATAAAGTAATTAACTAATCGGAACAATCAGGAGACCGAGAGCAATCTCCAGATGCATCTGTTTGATGCGCAAAATGAAATCTGTCTGTCTTAAAGGAATGTTCTGCAGCGGGATGCAATCTTGTAATAATCCCCTTTCTAATCTGTGTCTCAAATAGTTGCCCCAAACTAGAAGACTTGCCTCCCGAACAATGGTCGCACACCACAGTGAGGAATGCTCTGAAGGACTTACTGAAAGATATGAATCAGAGTTCGTTGGCCAAGGAGTGCCCCCTTTCACAGGTACTTAGCATAGCATGTAATAAATAATAAGACATCATGGGCAACCCTGATTTGAGGTTTGATGGAGCTCCCTAGTTTAAAGCAACTGGTATCTGAAGCAAGAATCTGCCAAAAATGCAAAGTGACTTGACCGCTGGTGACCTTTTAAAATATGCCTGATTCGTTCTGAACAGCGCCTATACGCTTTTTCTCCCTTGGGGAAAAGAGCCAAAGGACTGTTTACAGGAAAAACAGTTCAGCGGAAGACTCCGATGGCTAGTTTTTAGATTTGTCTTCTTTCTGAGTGCTGTGAGCATGATGGCTACATTCTCCTGAATGCCCTTATTTAAGAAAGAGTCGAGGTGGTACTACTCCCACAAAGCTTCGGTGAGTGGGAATGGCAGTGTCAGTGATAATGCGAAGAACTTCACTGTGCTATCTGCAAAAAGTAACTGTACGTTTCTTGGATTACTTTACTCATTACCAAAAAATCAAAAGTGTTTCAGTAAAAATAATTATGAAAATAATTAGCCATAACTAAAAGTTGAATAGTTGTTAATTCATTCAGATTTTGTGACCAATTCTGTGGCTTTGGTTTACTTCTTTTCTGTTTTTTTAAGTGGAATCTTCTTTTTCTCCCTCTTAGTTGCCTGTCATACCATCAGGGATTTTTGAAATGAAATAAAGATTTTAAAATTATTTTCCTTGATCTCTTTAGAATAATTTGGTGGAGGGCAGCTAAAACTCTAGGTAGAGACTGCCTACCTGCTTATAAACAGAAAATCAAACATTTTTGATGAAACTCAGCTGATTTCAAATACAAAAGAAAAAGGATGTTGTGGATCTGCTGTTAAGGGCTGCTTGTGGGGTCACCATGTACATGTGTTACAGTCATCCCCTCTGCATCCAAATCTATTTTAAGGCCATTCCATGATGCAGTATGATTGGAGTCTTGGTCCACCTAGATTTTTACCAAATATTTAATGTTTTCTTTTAATTTGAGTTTTAATTCTGAATATTAGTCTCAGTCATTTGAACTTGAACTGTGTAACTGCTGTATACATTTCTGCAATTGAGAGATCTCAAAGTGTATTTCTGCTATATTCTCAGTAGTAGATACTCTCAAAATGTATTTCTAATGTGAGGCTCATGACGATTATTGGGTACCTTTGGCAGGAAACTTACGGGCTTTGTGCTTCTGTTTCATAAAAACTCCATGCATTTCAGATTTGCTAACTTACAGTCTAACATTTTAACTTTGATATTTGCTAGAAATTTTAGAAATAAAGCAAATGAATTAAGTTTATAATGAACAACTTTCTATATTCTTCCAAGGTAAGCTATAGCCACAGGTTACATATTCTCTGTATTGCTAAGCGTCCATTTCTTGCAATTCAGAGTACACTTTTTTATTTTTATTTTTTTGTCATTTTAGCTAATCTCCTATCTTCCCTCTCTCTCCCTTGGAATAGAGAGGATATGAATTTATAACCATCAAATAAAAGTAATTAAATTAATTAAACACAGTTAAATCACTAGGATTATATAATAAAAGTAGGGTGACTCTTCAGTGGCTTCATTTCGCAGAAAACTCCAGATAACATGTTACATGGTTGCTAACACTTGAAAATTTGAAATGGTCTAGAAATAAACTTTGAAAAAAACTCAGTTAAAACATAATATAAATACCCAGTACAGAAATTGCATGTGTCTTTATGTTACTAAATGTCCCATTGATCTTGGAAGTACATTCAGACAAAGACTTAAGGCATTTACTCTGAGCTGAAGAAGATGTTAGTACAAATATTTATTGATACAGTTAGTGAGAACTAATTGTTAAATGACATAACATTCAGCCAGTAAACTCCACCTCACTATAACTTATAAATAGAATTTTGAATTTACTTTGTGTTATTGTGGAAAATGAATTGAATACAGACAATTATAACATTAAGTAGAATGACAAAATGTAATTCAGGACTTGGTTTGGAGTCATACATTGGTGAATTTCTGTAGAGAGAGGTTTTCAGATACATGGCCTCCTGTAACTGGATACCTCACTGTAATCATTAAGTGATGGAACTAGGCTGCAATTTCAACATCAGTTATAATTACAGTATTCTTTTCCTTAAAAAAATCTTCCAAAAATTCAGCATAGTTTAGCAGTGAAAGCAAATATTTGAAATTAATTTAATATTTAACAGTATGAAAAATGTAAATTGTTCTCTAAATGAGGGAGTTATTTTACATTTTGCTGAATCATCTTCTATCTTTCTATGAATCTGATACTCTAGTCAGAATGTTTTCAATAAACTGTTTTCTGTTTGCTTCTTGATTATGTTTTTCTGTCTAGAGTTATTAAGATGAGAGATGCAAGTTCCCTAAAGCCTATGTCCAAAATATATGCCGAGTTTGACAAAACTACTCTTTTTCCTATGGTTAAGATTTGGTGATAAAGATGTTATGGTGAAAAATGCCTTGCAAATAAATATGACCTCAGTCTTGTACAAAATGGGACCTAACACCAAGAAATGCCAAGTGTTGAGGCCTTTCTTCCCCTATGGAGTGTTGATTCATTCATGCAAGAGAACTTTTGGCATGCAATTCAACATACACCTTTTACCATAGAGTGTTTTATTTTGTTGAATATGATAAAGTGTTCCAGTAGCAAGTATGGTTACAGGGTCCCTCAATATTAAACTTAGTATAAAGGATTTTGCCTGGGGTGTTGGACAAGCGCTGCCTCCAATGCTCTTAGGATGGTAGTATAATGCTTGCTAAGCAAATGTCCATTTGGTCTTGAGTTCTTAGAACCAGAAGGGATTATCCTTCCTAGGCTCTTCCCCTTTGACAGTTGAAACGAGCCAGTGTCCCTGGAGATTAAAGTAATGGTGCTAGTTAATGACTGACACAAAAGTCATGACTTGCTAAGCTTATGTCCTTGGCTGATGATAAATTTTAAAAGTGTTGATTTAGCTACTCAGGAGGCTGAGGCAGGAGAATTACTTGAACCTGGGGGGCGGAGGTTGCAGTGAGCTGAGATTGTGCTGCTGCACTCCAGCCTGGTGACAGAGTGAGACTCCATCTCAAAAAACAAAGCAAAACAAAAGAAAAGAAAACCCAAAAACTTATATTTGGGTACAATAATGTTTTCTGTGATAATATTTGTAAGGTTTTCTCCAGCTACAGAAATTCCATAAGTGGGCTTGGCTTGATTTACAACTCATACCTTTATTTCTGTTATCACTTTCCTATCATAAATCTGCCCAAATAGATTGACACTCATTTATTAAGTTCTTTGTACCACGTGTTTTTTTTTTATTTTTGTGAAATGTTCTAAGACATAAGAAATGCTTAGCTCATTATAGGTCTGAGGATGGATGTTTTGTTGTCACGTTGTTTTTTTCAGTGGATGTGGTTAGATAAATTGGATGTTACATTCTGAACTGCAGCTAAGGAGGAGAGAATAAACTCTGATTTGGGGACAAGAAAGCCTGTAATCATAAAACTTTGAGGATATGGATTTGGGAGGAAAATTGGGAATTTAAAAAGTGAACAATTTGATTTATTAGAAAACATTACCTTTTGATGCTTATTTTCCCTGGAGTTTTAGAAATTGCATTTAAACACTAGATAAATATATACACATTCTGTTACAGGGGTAAATTCATTTTGTTAAGTAAAAGGTCAGCTATTAACTTCTACCAGCCTAATGTCTTCATTCTAAAAATGTTTAGGTCAAATATTTTATGGTGGTTTTTAATCTGATTTGCTCATTTTTACCTCTCCTCTGTCACCACACACGGGCGCGTGCACACACACACACACACACACACACGCACGCACACATACGCACCACAGCTTTCACGTTTTTAAGGCATTGGATTATTTTCTCTCTTATTTCTCACCTGGAAAAGATATCTCTAAGCCAAGTCATATAAAGTGGCTGAGAACTGTCATTTTTATTTTCAAGTAGTAAAATATATACAAAATAAATTTAAATTTGAACATTCCATTTAGAAGTAATATTTCCGAGAAAGATGATTTTCCAATTTTCCTGTTTTTCACAGCATCTGAGGATGTCAAATATGTTGGACAGTTTATTTATTAATGGCAAAATAGATTTTAAAAAGAAACTGCCCTGTGCTCCTGAAGCTTAGCTTCAGTACTGCTCTCCTGAAACGCGACAGTCATTTCCGTAGGGATTGAATACACTTCCATGTTCAGTTGATTTTCAGTCTGTATTATGAATGATACTGGAGCAACAATTAGAAAATCTGTCATGTTACAGAAAAGTGTTTTTAATAAACTACTTTGTTTCACAGTTTTTGAACTGAAATTACATATTTCTTAAAAGTAATCACATTCTTAAGAGAATAGCCAGCATCAGTATTCATATGTTGCATTTCACGTGAGAGTCTAACCTATGAAATTTGTTTGCATACTCATATATTCAAAGGTATGTATCGACAGTCCGCTGTATGCCAGGCATTCTGTTTCCTATGTAGTAATAAGGATATGACATCTTAATAGTTGAAATAATAGTATTACACTTTGATTTAGTGCTTTTGATGTATCGAGAGTGCCTTTGGTCCCGCTAAGTAGGATATAGTCTTATATTCCCATTTTTAAATGAGGAACTCAAGGCACAGAATGTTGATACGAATGTCTGTGGGTACCTCACTGGTGAAGCAGAAGGGTAAGACTTCACACCCAGAGCCCGTGAGCTTTGCCAAGCATCCTTTTTCATCACATACCACAAACAAAGGAATTGTAAAAAAGACAAAATGAAAGCCTCTCAGATGAATTTGGTAGGTTTTATAATATGCTTTGATTTCTCTAAAGTACTGATAACTACTTGTAGTTCTCCAAGTATATTTATTCTCATTACTGAAAATTTTCTTTAATGTGTTTTGGTTTATTGTCTTGTTTTAAAAGTGCATTGCTATCATTTCAAGCCCCCAATCATGGGTAATCCAGACAGGAACTGACTTTCGGGATAACTTGGCATTTGGGATGTT